CTCCTTGTTGTTTTGCAGTTCCTGAGATGCATATCCCAATGCAGCATAAGCATTCTGTGCTACTGCAATAGCCACAACCTCCTTGTTGTTTTGCAGTTCCTGAGATGCATATTCCAATGCAATACCATCCTGTGCTACTGCAGCGGCCACAACCTCCTTGTTGTTTTGCATTTCCTGAGATGCATATTCCAATGCCCTACCATACTGTGCTACTGCAATAGCCACAACCTCCTTGTTGTTTTGCAGTTCCTGAGATGCATATTGCAATTCATTACCATCCTGTGCTACTGCAGCGGCCACAAACTCCTTGTTGTTTTTAAGATCCTGAGATGTATATTCCAATGACCAACCTCTCTGTGCTACTGCAATAGCCACAATCTCTTTGTTGTTTTGCAGTTCCTGAGATGCATATTGTAATGCATAGCCACCATCCTGTGCTACTGCAGCGGCCACAACCTCCTTGTTGTTTTTAAGTTCCTGAGATGCATATTCCAATGACCAACCTCTCTTTGCTACTGCAATAGCCACAACCTCCTTGTTGTTTTGCAGTTCCTGAGATGCAAATTGCAATGCCCTACCATCCTGTGCTACTGCAGCGGCCACAACCTCCTTGTTGTTTTTAAGTTCCTGAGATGCATATTGCAATGCGGTACCAAATTTTTTAACCGCAAAAGTGACAAACTCCTTGTCGTTCCGCAGCTCACTCGAAGCATATTTCAAAGCTCTGGAGATAAATTTTGCTTCATTCATCACCTTTGATGAACTCCGATAAACCATTGTAATTGGGAAAGAAATTGTGTACGCCGAGACACTGTCGGATATAATTGAATTGAATTTGATTCGATTCAGTTTGATTCGATTGGATTCAATTTGATTCGATACGATTGAGCATGATTCGATGCAATGCTCAAGCAGCCCCGACACGTTGACGACAGCTTCGTCGTTCCGTTTTTTTGATGCTGCGTAGATTGCTTTGTTATGCAAGCACGAGATCGATCTGAGGGGGTCTGCTGTAATGCTTGCTCAAATTATGTGCATGGTACGTTATGGGATATCTATTTCGTTGCTGTTGCTGAACTAATGGAAACTGAATAAATCGTTGGAATCGAAACGACGCAAAAATTGGGTGCTCAAAAATTTCAAATTCGATGTCAAACCAATCCCGTGTAATGTTCACATGGTGGTACGAGTACCTTACAGTAGTTCTTTATGTACTGTAAAATGCTGTAAAAACCGTACGTACTCTGACTTGCTGTAACTTGAGTGAAGAACTGCGGGCTCCTAGCGATTTTGTTCCCCCGATTTGCCGTCTTCGAACCAAAACGTAGTGAAACATTCGGAGTCGAATCCGAATCTACCGTACCTTGTTACAGCAACAATATAATACGAATTCTGAAACAAGATGACGGAATTGAACAAGAAAAGCAAACCAGTGAAACTCACTCCGACGGAGAGGAAAGAACGAAACGCGATGCTCCAGAAGCTTCAGGATAGTGGCGATTTCGACAGGTGCGTGTTGTGTTGTGTTGTGTTTCTGTTGGCGAATAGGTGTTGTTCGGTTTTGATGGTGTGTAGCATCGCTCATTGAGGTCGTGTCGATCACACGGTAGGAGTTGGTTTGCTGTTGCGGAAGCAACAGACACAACACGATGCGGCGCATGCAACCATACTGTTATTGTTATTATTCGTCTCATTCGTCGATGATTGATTCGTCTTCTGCATGGATCCGATAAAATACATACGACTCCGAACCAATGCAACTCAACGCAACGCAATACAACGCCACGATGCAAACGAATACGTATACGCATATACAATGCAACACACGACAAACACGATACGATACACACGACACGATACGACACAATACAAATGATACGACACGATACACACGACACACACACAGGCTGAAGAAAAGCGTCTACGCCCGGCTCGTCCTGCACCCGGACGGCGAGGCCTGGATGGAGGGGATCCGGGAGCAGACCCGGAGCGCCCTCCAGCGGAGCAACGGGGGGACCGAGAGCATCGAGGAGCTCACCCTCGACGAGCTGTCCGCGGCGATCGTCGCCGGGAGTTCGGGGATCCCGGCCGCGATCGAGGAGGACTGCTTGTCCCGCATAAAGAACCTGTACCGTGCGAGGGACCAGAGGAGGTAGTTGGTTCGTTCGTGCGCTGCTTCTCCTGCCAGCGACACGGATGGATGGTGCAGTTTCGTGGGTGGTGGTGGGACGAACGTCTCCGTGGCAACCCACGCAACGGGATGCGATGCAATCGTCGAAGAGATGCAGTCTGTGGTGTTTGGTGCGCAGTGGATATAAGATGGGATAGGATGGCATGGGATGGGATGGGGGGAAATTTCAAAAATCGCAACTGGCTAACAATCACTTTAAAAAGGTTTGATTAGAAACAAATTAGGAAATCAAATCCATCGCTGCCGAAATCGCTGTACTGTATAACATAAAAATGGTGACATTGAGGAATGAAACCTACAGCCAACTGCGTCTCCGCCGACCTCACTAGGTGCGTGCTACCACCACCTTGGGAGGCCTGCTCCGAAAGCTCGTTCAGGCGCCTCAACAACACGTGTTGCGCAATCTCCGGGCAAAAATATGGTGGAGGGCCGGCCGTTCTTCTTGGGGGGCTTCCCGGCGAGGCCCTCCCGGACGTACCGCGCAATCGTGCGCGCGTTCAGCTTGGTCCCGAACTCCCGGTTCACCTGGTCCACGACCTGTTTCGAGCTCATGCCGCAAGGGAGCTTCTTCTCCGCCTCGAAGAGAAGGGTGGCCTTGATGTGCGCTGCGATCCTCGTCTCCTCGAGGTCCTTCCGGGCCCGTTCCTCCGCCGCCTGTTCCTCGGGCCGCACAAGGGGCCTCGGCGGGGGGATGGGAAACCCCTTTGCTTTGGTGTTCTTGGGGGGGTGTCCCGCGAGGCCCTGCTGGACGTAGCTCGCAATGGTCCCGGCGTTGAGGCTGGTTCCGTACTCCTCGTTGATCTGCGCCACGACTTTTTTGGCGCCCATGCCGTTGGGGCGTTTCTTCTCGGATTCCAGGAGGAGGGTCGCCTCGATGTGGGCCGCGGCGTGCCGGGTCTCCCGCTCGTCCGCCTCGATGCGCGCCTTCTTGGGGCAGGGGGCGTCCCCGTCCTCGATCTCTGGCGGTGCCAGGTGGGACCACTTTCTCGCCCACAGCCTGGGAACCTGTCCGGCGCGGCCCTCCCGGCAGCTCTTGCGGATCGAATCCTCGCTCGGTAGGGCGCCGTGCTCCCGGTAGACCAGGTGGCAGACGGAAGGGGCGCCCAGGCCCCCCGCCTCGTACAGGAGGGTTGCCTTGATGTGGGCCACGACCTTTTTCTTGGTGAGCTGGTCGCCGTAGGTGAGTTTCCACGGGTCCGGTTTCTCGGCCAGGGCTTCCAGGGCGGCCACCCGCTGCCGGTAGATCTCGACCCGGCGCCGCTTTCTCGGCGAGAGGGGCTCCGGCCCGGATTCCTCCCGGGCCGACCGGACCTTTTCCAGGAGCCCGGGGTCGCTGCATTCCTTTTCGCGGAATCCCGCGCAGTGCATCGCCTGTGGGAGGTCGAGGTGGGGGGCACAAACCAGGATGCCGAGGGTCCTCTCGACGGTCTTTTGCCGCTCGGCGGCCTCTACGGCCTTGATGTTGGCCAGGTACTCCTTCAGGGCCTCCGTCGTGCCAACGGCCGGCAGGTTCCGTATCGCCCGGGCCCTGGCGCACTCGACGAGCAGCATGGTGTGTTGTGTCGTGTCGTGTCGTGTCGGTCTGGCGAGCCGGGTGGGGGGGGTTTGGGGACGCTGGGCGCAGAGGGTGGAAGTGGAACCGGTCCAGAACCGCAACGCAACGAGCTCGGAGATGGATGTTCGGTGCGGAACGGAACGGAACGGAACGCTTTTGCCGTGTCAACAACACAAGCTGTGTCGAGAGGCTTGTGCGGAAGAACATCAGGAACACGAAAAGTTCAGTACGGTACTTTTGTAGATTGTACTCGTATTCGTTTTCGTACTACGAAGTAGTTCTTGTACTGACTTCCAGCCGAAGGAGTGATTTGTTTTTTGGCGCGGAGGGTATTCTCGTACTTAGTTTTGTTGTATGGTGTGTACATACAGAACATACAGTACGAATTAGTAGAAATCGGGGTCGCAGGATGAATAACTGTTATGTTATGGGTGCTCATGCGGCTTGCGCGCTGGCAAGGGAAGTCGCAAAACAAAAGTGGGATTAGTCATGGCCGACTCGTGATCTAGCAGTTTCACAGAAAATGGCTTCAATTGAAGTTGGGAACCCAGATCATCGGCTCAGCCGGCAACACAACATCGAGAATCGGGAAACGACGCGTTGTTCGCCTAGTTCTTGCTACCAGGTATGCTATCACATGGTACGGTACCATACCGTACGTACGAGTTACTCGTACCCGGTCAAAATTCTCGGATCTGCCGACCGACATCTGCAGAAAACAAACGAATCATACGGTACGTAAGGTACTGTATTCTCTGCCCATCTTTTCGATTCCGGATTGTTCGACGACAACAACCACAACCTCACCGAGGCCAAAGCAAACCAACCCACACTGTACCGAACCAACCAACCTCACCCACCCCCACCCCCCTCCAGCCACGACAGCATGCCCCGAACCAATCCTTCATCTACCGCCACCCGCAACGTTCGGACGAGCCGCTCCCGCTGCCGCTTCGTGGCCCTGCTGGTCGCCGCCACGGTCCCGGGCACCGCCCTCGGCCTGGCCACGAACGGCCGCCGGGGCTTTCTGGCCTCGGTGTCGTCTTGCGCTTCCGCCGCAACGGTCGCCGCCCTCTGCCCCCTCCCGTCGGCCGCTTCCCAGGAGGTCGAGCTCCGCCAGGGCAACCAGGTCACGGCCTTCAACGGCCTCGCCTTCAACTACCGGGGGGGGGAGTACGGCGGCCTGGACGCCAGCACCCTGGACGAGCCCAGCATCTCGTATTCGGACTTTAACGAAAAGCTCCGGTCCGGAGGGGTGGTCTTTGTCGAGTTCAAGGCCCCCGACGGGGACGTGGCCTACGCGACCCTCAGGGGGGAAGGGGACGGGCCCGGCCAGAGGCTGCGCATCGGGGAGGGGTACCCGATCGAGCAGCACGACGGGTACAGCTCGCCCATGTTTTGCATCCGGACGGTCAAGAACGCGGGGGTCCCCTACAAGTTCGTCGTCAAGGGGCTGGACAAGTACTCGCAGTAAGGCAGACAGACGGACACACCACCCACGGAACGAAAGAAGGCAACTCACGCCCTGTATACATAATGATTTTTAAAAAAGACAATAAAGAACAACAAATACAATTCTACAACAAGTTTATCCACCTCCCCCCATGCACAGAAACGATGAAAACACAGCTACGGTGAAGAACGGTTGTAGCACGCTGCTGTAGTCTTGGTTGGTTTGGGCTACGCTAGGCTAGGCTAGGCTACGCTACTCGTCGATTCGTCCGATCGGCGCTTCCGTTCGCTGCTCCAACCCCCCGTGCCCGCTCCGGCTTGCGCTTAAGCTTGTGCTTCCGCCCGCCACCGCTTCCTCCAGAGCCAGCGACAGGACCTTGAGGTCGGAGCGGATGTCCGCTTTCGGAAAGGCGGCGGCCGTGGCCGGGAGGGAGTCCTCGCCCCCAAAGAGCAGCTCGTGCAGGGGTGCCACCGGCTGCTCCAGGGCGTCGCGGTCCTCCAGCTCGCTTTCCGACGAGCGGTGGTGCCGGACCCTGCAGGGGATGGTCAGGCTGAGGTTGCTGTACCTGTCCCGCCGGTTCTGTTGGTCCGGAATGGTAATGTCGACCTTGCACCAGGTCGAGACCTCCATCACGTCCGTCTTGAGGTCGCAGGGGGGGGTGCCACCCTCGAAGAAACTGGTGTTGTCGCTTCCGTTCCCGTCCTCGCTGTTCGTACCGGCGCTGCTCAGCCACAGCGTCTTGGTGATCCGGTCCGTCACGCCGGGCTCGACGCGCTCGTGGCAGGCGTCAAAGAGAAAGGACTGGGTTCGCGTCTTGGTGTCGTCCTCGAACACAGCGTATTCTTCCCCCTGCAGGCAGGCGCAGACCTGGTGGCAGGGGATCCAGTAGTCGTTGATGTCGCTGCTGTTGCCGTCGAGGGAGTTCTTTTTCCTCCTCCGGGTCCGCATGGCCACCTCGCGGTTGCTGAGCAAGACCTTTGGGAAATCCCACTGCAGGTGGACCCGGGAGCCGGGCGACAGGCTCTGGGAGCCAATCACCGTGAGGATGCAGACGGGCCGCCCCGTGGCGTTGGTCACCCGCATCGTCCGGACGTCCGCGTTTGGCTGATACTGCTGGACCAGGCAGTGGTCCTGTTCGACCACCAGCTGGCCCCGCGGCCGGTGGATCTCCGTGGACGACAGGTGGCAGGGGAGACCGTTGGAGTGCGCCACCCCGACGCATTCCCCGAACCGGACGCGGGCCCGCTGGATCTGCCGCTTGTTTTGCTCGTCGCCGTCGTCGGGGCCGCTGCTCCCGGTGACCACCTTGAAACCCCGCTTCAAAATCTGCTGCTGAGTCTTGGTCTTGATCAGAACGTTGGCCATGTAATAATACCGGCACGTCGTAGCGTGGACCGAGTGGGGCAAATCCGACGGGATGTCCACCCGAAAGGTAAAGGCCAAAACGTTTCTCCCGATAGCGGAGGCTGCCCCGCAGTCGTCGCTTTCGTCGTCGTTGCCGCTGTCGCCCATCGACTTGCTGTCTTCGTCGCCGTCGTAGCCCAGACCGCGCTGAAAGTCCGCGTCGCTCCCGCCCCAGCGCCTCCCCTCGGTCCGCTCGGGCAGGTCCAGGGCCTCCATCCCGTTCGTGGCCCAGATGCACACCGTGTCCTCGCTTTGCTCCAGCAGATCCGCGTCAAAGGTGAGCTCGTCCTGCTGGAGGAGCTCCAGGTACGGGTGCATCTTGCCGTATATTTTCTTGTAGTCCCTGGAATCGTGCCACCGGGAATCGATCTTGCAAAAGCCCGCCACGTAGACCGTCACGGACTCGAGGATGGCCCTCAGGGGATGAAGATCAGCCTCGTCCTCCCCGTCCTCCCCTTCGCCGCTCGGCTCGGACGGGAGCGGAAGCGGAAGCGGTCCCTTCTGCTGGATCAGGATGGTCCCGACGACGGTCCCCCCCAGGGGATACGTCGGTCGGGACAAAAAGACCTTGACATCCGGCATTGACCCCGTGGCCGAAGCCCTCCGTCGCCTGTGGTTCCCGTTCTCGCTTCCATTCATGCCTCACTCGGTCGCACAAAGATATAGAGAATTTTTGTGTGCTGTGCAAGCGAGAAGCCGTTCCGAACAAGCGATGTGTCGTTCCGATTGCACAGGAACGATTGATCGGGTTTTGGGTTCGAGTTTACGATTAGAGGTGTCCGCAGTGCCTGCTTTCCGCAGCTCGTTCTGTTGGTGTTTTTTGAAAAGTTTGTTTTTTTGTCGCACACCCGGCTGCATAGCGGTTCGTCCAAGACAGTACGAGACGAGTACTTACGTTGGCCACTACGTTATTCTGTACTGAGCTTACGGTACGGTTACTCGTAAACTGCTTCTGGGTTTCATTTTTTTTTTGTTTTCTTATCCTAAAAATAAAGGAAGAACAGTTGCTTGTTGCTAGCTTCGTTGAAGATAGAGATTGGAGACACTACAGAGGACAAGTTAACGACTGCGACTACTACGACTAAAATTAGATCCGCTCTACGAATCTTACAGTAAAGTACCCTGCTGACATACGTACTTACCGTACGGTACCTCCGACCAGTAAGGTGTCGACGAGTTCTTCCGCTTCACGGGGGTGCAAGTGCAAGCAGTACGTACATACGGTACATTTTGATGTGTAAATGTTAAATGTACCGGGACGAGTACGTACCCAAGTACGCACAGGTACCAATAGTCTAGGGACCAACGAAAACCGGAACCTCCGGTATCGATTGTTGATTGATTGATTCGTCGGTTCTCTTCACGTCATGACATCTACGTTACTGCTACTTTGACATTTGCTCCGATCCATTATCCCCCACAAAGACGAGAGCGAACACAACAAAGAGAACGTCAAGGAGATTGCCAACAGGATTGCAAAAATTCGTCAGGATGGCGAAACCAACATCAAAAATTGCTCGCAGCATTTTTGATCGCGGCGCTACCCTTCAAAACCCACGCGGAGCCACAGAATCGATATGTCTTCATTTTCACGCATTCGAACGATGCACTCGGGATCTAGGTGAAGAAGAGCGGTAGATTTTAGGACCCATCGCACTCCACAGCTGGTATTGGTATGTTTCTATCAGTTTTTCGTCACATAACATGCGGGTGTCTGTTCGCAACAAAGATGTTAGCGAGATTGCGTTCAACGATCCTCTCTTTGCAATATTCTATTTTCAACGGAAAACGATTCTCACTGACTACAAAATCTTAGCAAGAGGAGGTGGTGCTGCATGGCAATTTTCTGATGTAAGACGGACGGATGTCATTCGAAACTATCTCGACCAGGACGAGACTTTTTCATTCAAACTCGAGTTGCTGGTTCCAAAAGAAAGTATTGAAGTATGGTATCCGCAATTGAGTTCCCGTAAAGAAATAATTTCAAATTGTCTTCAACACCAATTTGATATTGCATTCCAAGTTGGCACTAGTGAGAAGCAAGTGATGGCCCATACACATGTGCTGGAAACACTAGCTGCTGCACTGTACGATTTAGTCCTTACAGAATCCTCGTCTCATTCAAAGGACACAAAAGACATCATCCAAATAGCACTGCCCACTGTGGATGAGTCTGCATTTGAGAAAATGATCCGTTGCAACTCTAAGTTCAACGACACATACAAACTAGCAAGACGAGAGAGTCAGTACAACATAAATCTCTAGGGACAACGAAAACCGGAACCAAATGCCAAGGTGCGTGCCACAACCCACAAAATGGAACAAAAAAGAAGCGGAACACGTTCCTTGCTCACAAGTACCAGCACCACATAAATCTTAAGGGACAACAACAAAAGACGGAACCAAGAAGCAACGTGCCGAACGTCTTCCTCGAGGGACAACAGAAAACCTGAACCGAAAAGCAGCGAACGTCTTCCTTCCTCGTACGTTACGGCACCACATAAATCTCAAGAGACAACAACAACCTACGAATACGACTGATTCGTATGAGTACCCGGTATGTACTGTACGGTACGTGGTCGTGTATCTGGGAGGACAACGAAAATCCAAAACCCGGAAAAAACGATTTTTCTAAAACTACTAGCTTTCTCGAACAACACTATGATTCTTCGATTTCTCTTCACAATCCTTCTACGGTGGTACTTGTATTTTTCCATTTATTCAGATTCATTATCCACCAGACAAACGAAATAACAACAACAAGAATACCAACAAGATAGCAAGATGTCGTCGTATGAAACAATGTACTTTCTTGTTGAACCGTTTGAAGGACTTAATGCTAAACTCTCTGGTGGGGGTTTGAAAATAGGACCCATGAAAGCCCATGGCTACTACTGGAATCTTCAACTCTATCGTTCAGATCATGATTTTCGTGCGTGTCTTAGTCTTGATAATTGCTACATGATCGCGGACAGAAATCCTCTTGTCGCAAGGTGCCGTTTTCTGGTAAACAAAAACTACAATAACTACAATGAGAACACATACACATGCTATTTCTCGAAATCGTGTTGTGGGTTTTGGTGCTTAAACAGATCAGATTCTAAAACGATTGAAAAATGGCTCAACGAGTCCAAGAATTTTCAAATCACTGTAGCCGTGCAGGTTACATCAGGTTGGAAGCACGTATGGTATCCACGATTGAGGGGCCATGAAGAGATGACGTCTCATTACTTTCGAAGCCCATTTGACATTGCATTCGAGGTTGGCCATGATAGGAAGCAAGTAATGGCCCATACGCATATGTTGGAAACACAAGCCCCCGCACTATATGATCTGACCCTTTCTGAATCCTCGTCCAATTCGACCAAGAGAAAGAGAGAAGATACCATCCGAATAGCACTGGTTGACGTAGATGAGTCTGAATTCGAGACATTCATGAGATTTGTCTACGTTGGCACATTGCCAGAGCTCGACAGCATTGAAGCTGCCACATCAATTCTCCTCTTGTCCAATCGATTTGGTTGCACGGATCTCAAGTTGTTTTGTGAGTCGACTCTCGTGGATAAGTTCTTAGGGCCCGCCACTGCAGCAACCTTGCTGTTGTTAGCTGAGGGGCACTCGTGTGCCCTGCTAAAGGAAGCTTTCATGGATCTATATACTTCGAATCCTAAAGAGGTATCTAATGGCAAGGATTGGCACCTCGTTGAAGAATCATCAAAATTCATCAAAGAACTCTTGACATACGCCATGATTGATCGCCACGAGCGTTCTGAGGAAGACAGTGTGACTTCGTTGAGAAAATGGCTCGAAGACGAGAACCTCGATGTCGATGGTACCCGGGAGACCTTGGTCAAGCGAAAGGCCGAAGCCATTTCCCGCCGCGAAAAGAATCGATAGAATGCATCGACTTCTCGGCCAAGCAAAGCGATGGCCGTGTCATATCCCGTATTCCCTATATTTTGGAAAAACCAACGATTACCAACTAGAACGACAATATTCAAGTTTAGGTTTGGAGATTGTATCGACTTGGAAGGCGGCTATTGCATTCCAATATTCCATCATCGCGATATTTTGGCACAAACCAAAAATTAATTATTAGAAAGACAATATTCGAGTTTAGTTATGTTTGGCAGTTAGCCCTCTGACTGATTCGTTCACTACCGTTCTATAAAATGAACACGATCGACTCGTTCCGAAGACCGCCGAGGCGCACGGCACCACACCGAAACGCAAGGGGAGCCAGGCCGCTACGACCCCGCCGTCTCGCCGCTGTGGTCGTGCAGGGGGGGCAGGTGCGAGTGCTGCTCCTGCAGCAAGAGACAGTCGTGGCCGGAATCGCTGTGCGACCAGTGCATCGTGGTCGAGAAGACGAGCAGGTGGAGGGCCGACACGTAAAAGAACAAAAAGGTCCGCATCTCCTTCGTCCCGAGCATCGTCTTGGCGACCACAAAGACGGTCCGCTCCATCGGGGACATCTCCTGGAGCTTGCGCTGGCGCTCCGACTTGCCAAACTGGCGAAAGGGATCGACCGAGGCCTCGTACCGCTGCTCCAGGGCCTCCAGGTCGAGGTCGCGGGAATTCTGCCTCGCGTAGGCGTTGCTGCCGCCCTGGCGGCCCCCGCCGGACTTGTTGTAGCTCTGCAGGTACCGCATCTTTTCGAAGAGCTTCGTGTTGTCCGACCTCAGCGACTCCGAGGCCTCCACCTGGATCTGCAGCTCCCTCTTGAAGGAGTCCCGCTCCGCCTCGAGGGCGTCGCACCGGGTCCGCAGGCGGTCCCGCTGGGACATGATGATGTTGGCCACCGAGCGGTCGTCGGAGGCCTTTTCCTGTGCGCTGGTGGGGGTCGGGGGCACCGGTTGCGGGGGAGGCGGGGGTGCGTTGGGATCCAGAACGCTCTGCAGGGCGCTGGGATCGCTGGGGGCCATGGGCATTGCCGCCGCCGTGGTTGTTTCGGCATCGGATCCTTGTGCCTTGGTGGCCGTAGAGGATTTAATGGCACGGTCCAGGTCCTGTTCCAGCGTGGCCACCACCGTTTCGGCGTCCACCCTGGCCTGCTCCAGCGTCTTGACCTCCTCGTTCAGGGCCTCCTGCGCCTTTTGCAGGTCTGTGTTCTTGTTCCTCTCCTTCACCAGGTCCGCCTCGACCCGCCGGAGCTTCGCCACCAGCACGGATTCGAGGTCTTTTCCCTCGTCCTCGTTTCTCCCGGCGATTTCCGGATCGCTCTCCGGCATGTCGGGGTCCTCGGCGTTGTACTCCAGTCGCTTCAGGATCCGCAGCTCCCGCTTCATGCTGTCCACCAGGGACTGGGACGGTGCCGATTCGAGCTGCTCCGTGGTGTGCTCCAACTCCGAGGACAGGGCCGCGTTTTCTTCCTCCAGAACGTCGATCCTGGACTGCAGCGTCCTGTTTCCGTCCAGAATGGTGTGGTCCTTGACCCCGATCTCTTCCCGCAGGGCGTTCACGGTGTGGGACAGCTCCGCCACCTCCGCTTCGTAGGCCTTGCGCTCGTTCAGCAAATCCGCCATCGGGATGCCCCCGCTCGGGGGGGCGGCCGGGGCGGCGCCATCCAGGGCCGCTACCTTGAGGCGGAGCTCGTCCCGCTCCCGGGTGGCCTCGTGGAGCATCACCCGGACCCGCTCCGCGTCGTCCACCAGGATCCGGCGCTGGGCGTCCCAGGCGGCCTCCCGCTCCCCCAGGCCCTCGCTGGCCTCCAGCATGTGCTTGTTGGTGGCCGCCCGGCCCGCCGCTTCCGCCTTGAGCTGCAGCTGGAGGGTCTCCACCTTGCGCTCCATGGCGGCCTCCCGCTCGAGGGCCTCGGTGGTCCTCCGGCCCTCCGTCTCCTCGAGCTCCTGCTTGGCGGCCTCCAGCTTGGCCCGGAATTCTTCTTCTCCCCCCTGCTGGAGCTCCTCGATGCGGTTTTCGAGCTTGCGGATGGTAATGTCCTGGTTCTTGAGGGACCGGAACTCCACCTCGTACTCGGCCACCTCCCGGCGCAGCTGAATGATTTCTTCCTTCTCCTCCTTGCTGCTGCTGTTCGCCGCGGCCGAAGACCTGGCGGCCCGCTCCGCCTCGATGGCCTTCTGGAGCTTTGCGTCCAGGGAGGCGTTTTCGGTGGAAGCCTCGTCGGCCTTCTGCGTCAGCCGCTGGACCTGCTGCTGCTGGGCGTTCAGTTGCTCCATGGCAGCGGCCAGGAGCCCGGAGGGATCCTGCAGGTCCTGCAGCGCATTCGTCAGCTTGTCAAAGGCGCTCTCGATGCCCTTGCTTCGGCGCGTGAGGTTGTCGATTTCCTCTGCAGAAAGCAACAAAAGCGAATCCGGGTGGTGAGCAAGGGGGTGTGTGGTGCGTTCGAAATTCCGAGTTGTGCAACAAACAGGTGTTTCGAATCAGACCGGCACTGCGGGTGCCAAAGTCTCGTGTCTAGTCTAGTCTAGTCTAGTCTGGTCTGGTCTGGTCTGGTCTGGTCTGGTCTGGTCTGGTCTGGTCTGGTCTGGTCTGGTCTGGTCTGGTCTGGTCTGGTCTGGTCTCACCTTGGTACGACTTGACCGTGATCCGGGCCTGCTTCGAGACCGCCTCGATGGCCTTTGCCGCCGCAGCAAGGCTCTCCTCAGTCCCCTGCCCGGAGGCCAGGGTCTTTCCCGAGGTCTCCACGGTCTTGACCGCCTTCTTGAAGGACTTGGTCGTCTCCGCCAGCTGCTTGCGGGCCGCCTGGCTCGATTCCCGGGACTCCCTGTTCTCGGAGGCCACCGAGCCCCACTGGGAGGACCGGGTGGCCCAGTCGAAGGACTTCCAGGGCCTCGAGGCCTTTTGCAGGGAGAGGACCAGCGCCGCGTTTGCGGAGGGTGGGGCGGGGGCGGCGCCGCCCCCTCCGCCCATCATTTTCATCATGGTTGCTTGTGGATGTGCAGTGTTGCGGTTCGGCTCCGCTCGGTCTTTGGTGAAAAGGGTTCCGGAGTACCGTATTTCGTCGTCGCGTTGCGTCGTGTCTAGCTCGGTGTGGTTGGTGGGATTAGGTTTTTCGCATGACTCTTTCGGTTGACAACAACAACGTCAAAAATACCGCGGTGTGCCGTGCCGTGCCGTGCCGCTCAGCATGAAAACGGAAATGCTTCTGTTCCAATTTTCTTTTTTTAAAAACTGTAGAAAAACACGCGAAAATAATGTGTTCATATATTACATACGTAAAGTACTCTATGTAGGTACGATAAGAGACAACGGACTCGTGTTCTCTGCCTTGATAGACTATGTACGTACGTACCACCGTACTGTTGGTACCCGGTGGAAGTCGTGCAACTTTACGGAGTAGTGCAGTGCAGTTTCACCCACCAGTAGTACCCTACTTTTTCAATGATCATGGCAATTGCAATGATATTATTGTTGTTAACAAATACCACTACTAGGAGCAAAAGAAAAATAATATCATACTGCACGAGATTACGTGTACTCTTAATATGTTTAAGTGTGTATGAAAATTGAAATTATAAGATTAGAATTATTCGTCGGAACAAGATTAGATTCTTGCGCTCCGACGTGAGCTTTCAGTAGACCTGATTAGATCCTGTGTAGCTCT